TCATATATAGCAACAGTAACCAGTTAGAAGGTTAAAGATCAAATATCATTTATAACATGAATAAAATAAAATATTCTGTTTGGAAACAAAGTCAAAAGACTAATGACAAAATGGACATTCTTTGCAAATCATAATAAGTAAAAGGCTTATTTCTCTAAAATATGAAGAGCTCCTAAAAACCAATAACAAAAAGATTAAGAGCCTAAAAAAAAAAATTGTAAAAAAACAGGTCATAGAAATGAAAATACAAATGGCTAGGTTGATTGGGCTCACTCTAAACCAGCGGTTCTCAACCTGTGGGTCGCGACCCCTTTGGGGGTCGAACTACCCTTTCACAGGGGTCGCCTAAGACCATTGGAAAACACATATATAATTACATATTGTTTTTGTGATTAATCACTATGCTTTAATTATGTTCAATTTGTAACAATGAAAATATATCCTGCAGATCAGATATTTACATTAAGATTCATAACAGTAGCAAAATTACAGTTATCAAGTAGCAACGAAAATAATTTTATGGTTGGGGGTCACCACAACATGAGGAACTGTATTAAAGGGTCGTGGCATTAGGAAGGTTGAGAACCACTGCTTTAAACTAATGACAACACACTTCAAGTGGGCTCCTAATGCTGCCCACTAATCACACTGCTTCTTATTTCAATTATTCTCATTTTTTTCCTAGAGGAAAACATGACCTTCTCTCCCATTCTCATTCTGTACTGTTACTAACCAAGTCTGAGCCATCCCAACCCTCACCTGGATTATTCTAATAGCTCCTAACTGGTATCTGCAGCTATTCAACTATAGGAATCATCAATAAACTGAAGGGAAAAAAACCTTGTATATATCCATGATTATTTATTCAAAATAACAATATTTATTCAAATATCAATAGAATATGTATTCAAAAAGTAAATATTTAACTGAGCACCTATTATTACTGAGCACTGTTCATGTTTGGGGCATGGCAGAAAACAAACAAGCAAAAAAACAAAAAACAAAGTCTGTGCACTCACAAAACATATTCCAGATAGGGAGACTGACACCCATATAAATATATGTGTCAGATGATGAATGTCATAGAAGAAAAATCAAGCAAGGAGAAAGCAACTGTAACCACTTAATGTTTTTCTAAGGGCAGTCAAAGAAGCTCTCCCAAATAAGATGACATTTGCACAGAGACCTGTGAAACTTAGGGACAGAGCCTTGCAGATATCAAAGTAGAGAACAAATTCAAGCACTAAAGAAAGTAAGTTCTAGGCATTAATAATGCAATTATAGTGCTTAAAAATCTTTAAAAATTTGATGGACCTGAAAATCTCTCCTTTATCACCTATGATAAAAATAAAAACTCAAAAGTAGTTCACACCTATTTCAGGTATGAGCTAAGTTGGTTGTTGTTAGTACATGTGAAAACGATGAACTTCTGTCCACAACAGAGAGGCCTAAACTAAACACTGAGTATTCACACCATGTTTAGTATAAAAATAAATACAAATAACCTTCTTCCCTTCAATGACCCTCTAAATTTTGGCTGTTTTTACTGAAAAACATCCTTTTAATTTTATCCTGAAAACAACATAGAGAATGACTTTCTTTCAAAACAAGTTCTCTCTTGAAGAGAAACACATGTTCAAAGAACAAACAACATTCCATTATCTGACTTCAGGCTACTTAATTTCGGCAGGATGATGTCATACTTAGGCTACTAAACATATTCCTGTACATGGTTCTCAACCTTCTGGCCCTTTAAATACAGTTCCTCATGTTGTGTCCCAACCATAAAATTATTTTCGTTGCTACTTCATAACTGTAATGTTGCTACTGTTATGAATTGTAATGTAAATATCTGAAATGCAGGATGGTCTTAGGCAACCCCTGTGAAAGGGTCGTTCGACCGCCAAAGGGGTCGCGACCCACAGATTGAGAACCGCTGCCTGTATATACTATTTCTTCTGCAATTCTATAAGTCAGGCCTATTCATGGAAGCAGACCCATCATTTTATGCAATTAGAGAACAATAAAGAGAACATGTTTGAAGTACAAATACATTCCCAGTAATAAATAATTTCTAAGGGAAATTGAAGAGAGAAATATCCATGTGAGAGAAACACATCAATTGGTTGCCTCCTGCATGAGCCCTGACCAGGGCCTGGGCCAAGGAGGAGCCTGCAACCAAGGTACATGCCCTTGACCGGAATTGAATTCTGGACCCTTCAGTCTACAGGCCGATGCTCTATCCACTGAGCCAAACCGGCTAAGTCCAAGGGCATCACTTCTTATCCTGCCACTCAGCCTGGGCTCCAGTGACCAGGTCCCAGGGAGCACGGCAGACCTCAAGCCCAGGAAGTAGCAGAAGTGGTGCTGAACACAATGAGTGACCAGAAAGTAACAACAGCAGCTGAAGTAATAACAGTAATTGCTATACTCCCATTGTTAAATACCAGTGAGAATATAGCAGCAAGAAGAGAAGTGTAACACTGGTAGAGGTACTTACTTAAATTTAGCCAGTGCTTACCAGGAACCAAGCACTCTCCTAAGTGCTTTATAGTTATTAACACCTTTAATCCCCACAATAATCTTATTGTTGGTCACAATTTTGATTACACCCATTTTACAGATGAGCCACAGATTAAATAATTTGCCAAAAGCTACATGGTTAGTAAAGGATAGGGCCAGAATTTAAACTTGGCTCCTACAACTTCCAAAGTACCAGTAGTAGAAGCAAAAGTAACAGAGGCAGACGCTGAATGCTAACGATTGGAGCAGCAGCAATGGTGGTAATAGTGTGGGCAGTGGTGGCAGAAGTAGTCATGGTAATAGCACCACTAGTAATGGTAGTTGCGATAGTGATATCAGAGAGCGGTAACAACAGTAATCGTGGTGGCAACAATAACAGTACTGGTAATGAGATGACAGTATTAATAGCAGCAGTAACAGTTACAATAACTGATAACATTTTTGAACACCTACTATGTTCCAGGCATCAGAGTGAGGTGTTTCCACAACATTAATCCTCACCATAAGCTGTGAGGAAGGAGTTCTGACACTTGACAGCCAGGGTGACTAAGGCTTGCAGTGGTTCAATGATTCCCTGGCGTCACACAGCTGAGAAGAGACAGAGCCAGGCCCTTCTACCCCCAAGGTTGGGTTCTCTCTCCTTCTGGGGTCCCAAGTCCACCCCCTTCCCTGAAGCTGCCTAAGAAAGCACAGCCCCTGCTTGCTGCTTCCAGAGGCAGAAGTGTACGCCTTCACCTGGCACCATTAGAAGGCAGTCTATTACCCCACATCCCCTACTCCTTGTTCCCAAACCTACCCCTCAGCCCACTCCAAACACATCCACTCCCTTTGCCATGACAGCTTGTAGAGGTTGAAGGCAAAGATCTTATCCTAATCCACTGATTTCTTTCAAATCTTCTTGCTCATAACATGGGTTCCTGACCTCTCTGCACCCTGCTTGCCCTTCTCCAGGCATGATGTCTAGAACAGGGCCAATTCTGGAAATGGGAGAGTAGTAGAAGAGTCACCTTCTTCCCTCTGGCATGACCTCTTTTAAAACAGCTTGAGATTACATGAGCTTCTCACTCTGGTGATGTCCTAAGTTGACATCCTAAACCAGTGATGGCGAACCTATGACATGCGTACCAGAGGTGACACGTGAACTCATTTTTTTGGTTGATTTTTCTTTGTTAAATGGCATTTAAATATATAAAATAAATATCAAAAATATAAGTCGTTGTTTTACTATGGTTGCAAATATCAAAAAATTTCTATATGTGACACAGCACCAGAGTTAAGTTAGGGTTTTTCAAAATGCTGACACGCTGAGCTCAAAAGGTTCGCCATCACTGTCCTAAACCCTTGGTCACTCCTGGGTCTGCTTCTCTTTGACCTGCCTGACCCTGGGCCCTTTCTATGGTTATCTGAGACCCTCTAGCTCAGGGGTTCTCAACCTTCCTAATGCCTCGACCCTTTAATACAGTTCCTCATGTTGTGGTGACCCCCAATTTCATTGTTACAAATTGAACATAATTAAAGCATAGTGATTAATCACAAAAACAATATGTAATTATATATGTGTTTTCTGATGGTCTTAGGCGACCCCTGTGAAAGGGTTGTTTAACCTCCAAAGGGGTCGCGACCCACAGGTTGAGAACCGCTGCCTTGTCACCAATGGTAAGTAGAAAGTTTTCTCCCACAAGTTTTTGGTTGTCCTCTCTGAGCATCAGATTTAAGGGATTCTATATTCAACCACTCATTGTTCCCCTCCTGAAGGACACTGGTTCAGTGGTAACTTAGTGAGTGTTCCTCAGGGAAAGGGTTCCCAGGTCAAATCAGTTTGTGAAACTCTGAGCAAAACAGGCTCCTTCCCTGGAGAAGTCAGGGCCTTTGTGCATCTTTGCAATGGGCCTGGGACTCTCCCAGAAAAGGGTATACTTCCCAGTGTTTCCCAAACCTGGTTCTTTAAATGACTGTTTTTCTAAGTATGTGACACACAAATACATTCCCCTTGAAAAGAAAAGTCTCAAATTACAGTTAAAGCTAAAAAAAAATTAATATCCCAATATATATTTAAATAAAATTTAAAAGCTATAGTTAAATAAAATGTAAAAGTTATATTTAAAATTTCTTTGTAAAAAGAAAAGAAATAAAAATATCCAAGAAAACTTTGAGAAGAAAAAAAAAGATAAGAGTGAAACAAACTATTAAGTACCTAAAGAAAATACAAGGCTATAATAATTTAAAATTAACACTGGATCAGAGAAATGGATAAGTGAAAAAGAGAAAGAGCATAGAAGCACTTCGTGATTATACGGTGACATTTCAAATCAGTAGAGAAAGGATAACCCAACTACTCAGAAATAGCATTAGAACAATATTCATTTAGAAAAACATAGAATAGTTAGATCCTCACCACATAGCATACATGTATTAAAATAACCCTAGCTGCAGAAACAGATAAATACCCTAAATCTGTCACTTAATCAAGTACTCACTGATTTCTTGCTCATGTAAAGTTCAATAGGTGGTTGTATAGGGTTGGGGGATCTTCTCAATGTAACCATGGTTTATAGAAATGTCACCATCTTCAAAATCTCTCTTGCAAGGTTGCCCAAGATGTCAACATTTAGCTGGAAAACAAGGAAAGAAATATGGGAGAATGCTAGGAAAGTTTTGTGGGACAGGTGAAAATCATGTAATCATCTTTACCCATATTCCATTGGCTAGCATTTGCCTACCTTTAAGGAGGCTGGGGAATGTAATTTAGCCAGTTACCTAAGGAAAAGAAAAGTATGAAAATATATATATAATTTTATTTTTTTCTTAGAGTTTTTAATGCAGTATGCCCTTCTGGTTACTAAGTATCCTACCAAGTCTAGAGCACATTTCCTCTTTCCCCAAGTGAGACAATCTAAAATTCTACCTAGTTATTGCAACCAGCTCCAAGTCCAAGAGCTCTGAATGACGCATGGTTTTTTTTCTGTCAGTTCTGAATATGGCCCATTAAGGTTCAGTGACACTTGCACTAAACACACAAGTTATAGAAATCTCTCTACTGCCACCTGGCCCAACCTACTATGTTGAAGAAGTACAGGAGACACACAGAGGCACTGGTCGATCTGGCAGGCATTTTGAGGTCCCTATGATATAGCAGTGGGGACATCTCCTTAATTTGAACTCTGCTAGGTGGAAGAAACTACTTATTTAAATGTTCTTCCCAGCCCTGGATTTACCCTTATGCAGGTTCTCTTTTGTCCATTGTCACATTCAAAATAAATGATGGGGACTGTGCCTTCCTTGGGGTCCTTTACAGTTTTTGTAAACTTCCCTGAGCAAGTTTGGGAGCCCCGAAATACCTTTAATGACAGAACATCTTTAGGCTGCTGAAGTGCAGGCTTGCAATTTCATTGCCATTACAAATAGGCAGATTATTGTTTTTTGAGGAAAAGTTCTCTCTATTCAGTTACATATACTAGTAGCATTTCCCAAAGTTCTTTCTTAAATGTAAATCTCAAGCCTGTCTTATTTTTCTCTTCCTTTGCCCCATACCATCATGTTTAGGAGGAAATACCACACCTTTACTCAGGTGTGTAATGGTGGAGTCAGAAGTCTTCATGGACCTTTGTGTATATCTACTATCATCTGGGACTAGATGCTTTTCCATCATTTTACATTTTGTTTTTTCATGCTGTCAAAGTAACAAATTATTGCCACACCCCATATCTTTTTTTTTCTATCACCTTGATAAATGTAGGTAATAACAATCAACATTCATTACCAACATTCCATTTTCTAACCTCATTCCCTAGAGCAAAGGGTTCCCTAGACATGTGATCCATATTCTAATTGCAAATGACCATTGAACAATCATTTTGTCACTGCATGACACAAATTTTGTTTTCTCACCCTGGATATTAGCTTTTATCTTGACTGTCTGTTGGACTAATGCCATGTGTTTTGGATTTTTTTAATAATGGAATTCTTGTAGCAACAACTTCTGCGTCAGAGTAATGATACCTGTCCTGTTTTTTAAAAAAATCCCCAATTTTCTGATTTAACAGTGTTTTTGTTTGTTTTTTTAAATATATATTTTTATTGATTTTTTACAGAGAGGAAGGGAGAGGGATAGAGAGTTAGAAACATCGATGAGAGAAAAACATCGATCAGCTGCCTCCTGCACACCCCCCACTGGGGTTGTGCCCACAACCAAGCTACATGCACTTGACTGGAATCGAACCTGGTACCTTTCAGTCCGCAGGCCGACACTCTATCCACTGAGCCAAATTGGTCAGGGCACAGTGGGGTTTTTTTTGTGTGTGTTTTTTTAAAATAATAAATCCAACTGGCTTAAGTGGAGGAAAGGGTTGATGACCATGATTCTCAGTCACTTAGGTTCCCAGACTGACGGCTGTTTCTTTATTTTAAAAATAGGGTCTTCTAATGTCTTCCTAGGAACCCACATCCATCTGAGGGATAAAAGAAGAGTGGAGGATAGAAGAGGATTTTATGAGCCAGACCTGGAAATGTTTTATAAAGTTTTCACCCATATTCCAGTCAAGCAATTCTTAAGTCACAAGACCCCAACCTAACTTTAAGAGAGGCTGAGAGATGTTGATTACTTGTGTACTAATTGACTTGATTAAGCAGTTTGCCAATCTCTGTCAGGATACACAGGGGTATATTCCAGATGGTTAAGAAAGGTAAACATAAACCTATAAAAAGTACTAGTGGAACTACAGAATTATTTAGGGATGTCAAGAACTCTTCAGGGCATGGGAGTTCCATGGGCCTACTACAGAGAGCAATTAGAAGACGGGGGCAGAGCAAAGATTAAACTGTCCTTGATGGTGAAAGAAAAGGCTGCTGTTGCAGCAGGGAGGAAATATCCACCAGGATCCTTCTTCCCTGCTGAGGAAAAAGCCTTAAGCTACTGTAAGATCATCAGATACTGTCAATCAGGACACAAGTAAAGACTCACTGTAGCATGGGTAAAAGGAAATACACTCTACCCGTGGGAAGAGTCAGGAGGCCATCCTGCAGCCAGACTTGGGAAGGGGCAAGAAACAGTCCAAGCAAGATTCACCAAACATACAGTGAAGAGTTTAGCTGCCACAAAGAAGAGGGGTAGGAGCATTGAGAAAGCCATGATCCTAAAATCTACTCACAGTCTAAGTATAAAAACCATGAAAAGTATTTTAAAGATCAAGGGCTCAAAGAATTCTTCCCATGGTTCTTTTCAGAGGAATTTACTAGAAACTGAACTTCATCCAAACAAAAAAGAGTGGGAAAACTTTAGCAATTTAGTTTTAATATAACTTAATTGCAAAAATAAGATTAAAACTAAGGAGAACAATCCTATATAATAAAAGTCTAATATGCTAAGTGTCCAGTTATCTGATCGTCTGTTCAACCAATCAAAGCATAATATGCTAGTGATATGCTAAGGCCGCTCAACAGCTCCCTATGACGTGCACTGACCACCAGGGGGCAGACGCTCCGACTGGTAGGTTAGCTTGCTGCTGGGGTTCAGCTGATTGGGACTGGAGCCCTCCCCTGGTCCCTCCCTGGCTGGCCAACCTCCCATGTCCCTCCCGGCCCTGATTGTGCACCAGTGGGGTCCCTCCCCTGGCCTGCGCCCTCTCGCAATCCAGGACCCCTAGGGGATGTCTGAGAGCCAGTTTCCGCCCGGTCCTGCAGACCAGGCCTAGGGACCCCACTGGTACACAAATTCATGCACCTGGCATGTAATGTTATGTAACAGTGCTCTATGCCTTGTGTTGTATGTTCCAATAAAATAAAAACAATGCATCTAAAAATGGGAGGAGAATGGAGATGAAACAAGGAAAGTAGAATAAACTCATTAACTGTGATTTAGATAAGTAAAATTTAAGAAATGTTATTAAAAATTGACAATACAAATTATAGATAAAAGAAATAAGGAACTAAGGGCAGTGTAAGCACAGATAACTACTAGAACAAAAATGTTAACCTCCCTAAATACCAAATTTAGGGATTTTTTAAAAATATAAAACATAGCAAGCACATTATAAAGAGAAACAATGAATTATTACAGCATAAATCTGATAATTAAAAGCAAGCATATTCATGTTATCAACAATTGTGGAAGGGTTTAATGTGCTTATCAAAAGGAAAGATTTTCAATTTTCATAAAGACCCAACTATATAGTATGCTCTATTAAAGAGACATGCATAAAACAGAAAGGCTAAAAATAAAAGGATAGTCAAAGGTATTCCAGGGAAATGGCAACACTAAGAAAGCAGGAGCAGCAACACTGATATCAGATAAAGTAAAAGGCAAACAATAGTAGAGGAAGATTTTCTAACTATGATTCCAAATCCATATGCAAAAATGAAATAGAAGAAAATGAAGAGAGAAATGATATATCTAACTACATATTAGTAAGTGGCAGACAAGCATGATAAAAAGGAAATCTAAGACAACTGACAAATTGGGAACAAATATTTGTAATACATATAACAGATAAAGGGCTAGTATTTATTTTAATATAAAAATAAATCTTAAAAATCAGGGGGAAAACACAAAAACAAAAAATAACTCACTTGCCCTGGCCGGTGCAGCTCAGTTGTTAGAGCATCAGCCTGCACACTGAAGAGTAGTGGGTTTGATTCGTCAAGAGCATGTACCTGGGTTATGGGTTTGCTTCCCGCCCCTGGTCAGAGTGCGTGCGGTAGGTAATCAATCGATGTGTCTCTCTCACATCAATGTTTCTCTGTTTCTGCCTTTCCTCCTCTGTCCCTTCCACTCTCTCTGAAAAGCAATGGAAAAAATATCCTTGGGTGAGGATTAACAAAAACCCCAAACAAAACAAAACAAAATAACTCCTCACCAATGAAAAAAAAGGCAAGACAATAAATTCACAAAAATTGACTTAAAATTAAAAAGTATTCAACTGTACCCATAGTAAGAAAAGTACATAGTAAAAGTATATTTCACTCATCCAATTGGTGAAAATAAAAATGTAAAAACACCAAACTCTGTTGGAGAGGTTGTGAGGAAACAAGCCTCTCTCATCCACTTCTGGTAGAAATACAAATTGGTACAACCTTCATGGAGAAAAATTTGGCAATTTTAAAAATGCATTTACCTTCCGACATAACATTCTTAGCTCTAGGAACATACCCACAATATGAAAATGCATCTGTTTTTCATATTTTCTTTGCAACATTGTAAATGTAAAATATGAAAAATAATCTATATACCCATACATTGATGTATGGTTGAATAAATTGACAGATTACCCAAACGAAATACTATAAAGTTTGTTTTGTTTTAAATGAAGATTTTAATGAACAGATTTGCAGTGATTTCCAGAATATATTTTTAATGAAAAAAAGCAAAGTTCATAAAAGCATCTAGGGAATGCTAAATTTTGTATAAAAAAGAGGAAATAACAAAATGTACATACATGTGTTCATTTGTGCAAGTGAACACAGCAAAGATACACCAGGGACAAATGAGATTGACTATCTAAAGGGAATGTATGGGGATGAGGTAGAAAGTAGGGAGTTGCCAATTCTCTGAGAATAGTGCGTTGTGTGGCTTTGACTTGTGGAAAATGTTAATGTTTTACATACA